AAAACCAGACCAACCTTACAAGAGATGCTAAAGGGAACCCTTTGGACAGAGCAGCAACAACAGCCAATAACAACTGACCATTAACACACATGATGATATAACCCAGAAACCAAGCCAGCTATGGAAGTATCCAAAGTAAATAAGCCTACAAGGTCGTAAACAGGTAACCAGAGACATCAATTGACAAGTGAGGATAACTTCAAACCAAAAAGAGGAAAAAACTGTCGTCACAGAACTTCTAGATGGTAGGGAAGTCAAGACAACTACAAGATAGAATGGATTGTTCTAAACTTGGGAAGAAAACTATAAATCACAGGGTAACCTAAAAGAAAAATGATAGACCTTCACTTCAAAATAAAAAAGAGGACCAGCACAAATATTTAGCAAATACTAAAACAAAAGCAATGAAGGAAGTGATAACACAATTCATAAACAAAATGAGCTCAGCATAAAAATTATATGGAACAAAGAAATTGACATCAAAAAAGCACATAACAAAAAAATCGATATGAAAAAGCACGTAACAAAAATGACAGCAACAAATTCATATTTGCCGATAAGTACATATCTGGCAAGGGACTGACTTATCTCTAAAATTTAAAGAAAACTCCAATGTCTCAACAGCAAAGGAATGAACAATCCAACTGAAAAATGGACAGAAGACATGAATAGACACTTCACAAAGGAGGATATTCAGGTGGCCAGCTAATTCAAAAAGGGATACTCACGATCATTGGCCATCAGAGAGTTGCAAATCAAAACAACCGTCTCACCCCAGCATTAATGGCAAGGTTCAACGAGACAGAATATAACAAATGCTGGTGAGGTTGTGGAGAGACTGGGACTCATACACTGCTGGTGGGACTGTGGAGTGATACAACCACTGTGGAAAGCAGTATGGCGATTCCTTAGAAAGCTGGAATTGGAGATACCATTTGACCCAGCAATCCCATTACTAGGTATATGTCCTAGCAAGGCGAGAGCCAGGACAGGAACAGATATATGCACACCCACATTTATCGCAGCACTATTTAAGATGGATGCTGGAATGGGTTAAGACATTTAGGGGTTCTGGGATGGGGTAAATATATTTTGCATGTGGGAAGGACATGAATTTTTTGGGGGGCATTCAGAAGGTAGACTGTTATGGATTGAGTTGTGTCCCCCAAAGATATGTTGAAGTCCTAACTCCTGGTCCTATGAACATGGCTTTGTTTAGAAACAGGGCCTTTGAACAATGTTATCAGTTAAGATAACATGAAGTCATACTGGAGAAGGGTGGGTCCTAATCCAATATGAGTGACTCTTTATAAGAAAAATGAAAAGAGATAGAGACAGGAAAGCTATGTGAAAATGCTTCTACACACCAAGGAATGGTTAGGGCCTACCAGAAGCTGAGAGAGACTTTCCCTAGAATGGAGAGACAATAAATTTCTGTCCTTATAAGCCGCCTACTCTATGGTATTTTGTTGTGGCAGCTCTAGGAAACTAATATACCTCCTTAATACTTTTCCATCTTCCATCCTTTCTTGATTCTTCTCTATAACACTCATCATCATCTATTTTCTTAATTTGTTTGCTGTCTGTCTGTCCCCACTAAAACATCAGCTTCATAAGGTCAGTTTTTGTCTGTTTTGCTCCCTTTGGTATCTACAGGGTCTAGAACAGTATCTGATGTACAGCAGAAACTCAGTAAATGTTTCTTGAGCAAATAAAAAATTCAACCAAACTTACTGCTGTCAAGTCAATTCCAACTCATAGTAACCCTATAGGGCAGAATAAAATGCCTCATAGGGTTAGGCCAAGGCTGTAATCTTTACAAAATTATCTGTCGTATCTTTCTGCCACAGTGCGGCTGGTAGGTTTGAACTGATGACCTTTCAGTTAGCCAACACATAACCACTGTGCCACTACAGCTCCTTTGAATAACTAAATACAGGAAGTACTAAATAAACAGGAAAGTAAGTGCATACATCACATGGGGACCAGATGAGACACATGTACCTAAAATTTTAGTTGTGCGTACAGTGAGGGTCTATAATCCTGCTGAGGGTGAGGAAAGCTGGATGAGAAAGGACCACAGGAGAAGCAGCAGAGTGCCTGGGCCAAGATGGCCTGACAGGTCCACCTAGTAACAGATATGGAGGAACAGGGTCCCTATTCCCTATTTCCCCCTCCCCCGCTGGCCTGGTATTCCCAGCCCAGACTCACGGGTCACTGGATTTGGGAATGAGGGTGCCCAGTTCCTTGATCCTGTCGTTAATGTTGAATCGCCTGCGACGCTCAACTTTGGGAGAGAAAAAAAAAGAGTGGGAATGAGTCATCAATAGATGAAGGGGGGTGGAGAAAAACTAGGGAGCTGGGAGGATGTTGTGAAAAGGGGCTCCCCAAGGAGGGCTGGGACTCTTATGGGTTGCATAATACTCTTCCAAGAGCACACACTCTTCTCACTTACTTAGGTTGTGATTGTCTTTCTTCTGTCGTTCTTTCAAAAGGGCCTTTGCCTCTGTCTCTGGAAGAAAGTTCAAGAGAATAAGGGTGGTTAGGGCCTCTGGGCATGGGAAAGAGGGGAGTACACAGCTGCTGAAGTGGAATTTGGTGGGTAAAGGCAAGGGGAAGTGACTTTTCGAAAAAGCACTAGTCTTTACTATTTTTTCAAAACCACTATGAGGTATTTCACTATACATAAATTATATTTCAATAAAATGTATTAAAAAGAACAACACTGTGAGATGCCAGTTGTTAAAACCAAGATGAGAGGCTGTGAGAAGCAGCGGGGTGAAAGCAGGACCATGGGCCATGTGGAAAGAGAGAGCAAACAGCCCCCTTTTTGGATGCTTAAACCCCTTTTCACACAAGGCCTAATCTCAGACCTGGCAGACATGGTGCTTACTTGGGAGACAGGTGGGGCACGTAGCCAAGACCCTGGCACTTACCAGATATCTCCCGTTTGATGTTGGGCAGCTCAGCTGGGCAAGAGTTGCTGACAGTGATGGCTGGTGTGGCCACGCCCTGACTACTGTATACATCCAGGAGATTCCCTGACACAGGCAGCTGGGGGCAGGGAAGGAGAGAAACACGTTTGGGAACAAACCCCAGGTTTGTCCCCTTTTCAGAACCAGGTTCCCAACTCTCCACATACCTTAAAGAGCAAGCAGGTCCACTCACCCAGGGATTGGCTAACTTGGAAAGGAAACCCTTCTTTCTCCTTCAGGGGAATTTCACATGGCAATCCAGTAAGGATGACAGGGCAAAGTGGACCTAGCCTGATTTTCTAGGGAATGGAGCCTGTCTGGTCTGCTCGTCACCTCCAACCCTGCAAACCCCTCAAGCCCTTCAGTGATCTCTAAAGCTCCTCTCCTAAACCTTAGGGGTGTCCCTGAGGAGAAATGCTAGAAAATCACCCTTCTCAGCTTTTTGTCTGATCCAATGCAACATTCAAGTCCATCAGCCCCTCCCAGCACTACATTCCAATAGGGTTTTTGGAACACTCCAACCCAGTCTTCTCAGGCCTTGGTCATGGCAATGTTCTATCCAAAATCTGGTCTTCTGGAGAATTCCAACCTAATCTCTAGTCTTTTGCTACAATCATGTTATCACATTAGGTACATAGTCTTCTGCTGCCCTGACTCTAGAATCTCTAATAACTCCCTGCACATTCTGATCTCAGGATTTCTTTTCTAACTTCTCAACTAGCACTGCTGTTATTTCTGCCTAGATCATTTTCTCTCCTTCACACTCTCCTGAATATATTCCCAGGGCAACATACTAACCTATAATTAGTCCAATTTTTGATGAGTTTTCATCTCTTCAAACCATCCATCTAATCTATCTAATATAAAGTCCCAATCTCTGTTGTTGTCGTTAGGTGCCATTGAGGCAGCTCCAAATCATAGGAACCCTGTATCAACAGAACAGAACACTGCCTGGTGCTGCACCATCCTCACAATTGTTGGCATGCTTGAGCCCACTGTCACAGCAACTGTGTCAATCCATCTTGTTGTGCGTCTTCCTTTTTTGCTGACCCTCTACTTTACCTCATATGCATGTGAGAGCTGGACAATGAATAAGAAAAGACCAAAGAAGAGTTGGTGCTTTTGAGTTGTGCTGGCAAAGAATGCTGAAAGTACCACAGACTGCAAGAACTAACAAATCTGTCCTGGAAGAAGTGCAGCCGGAATGCTCTTTGAAAGCGAGAATGGGCAGAGTTCGTCTCACCTACTTTGGTCATGTTGTCAGAAGGGACCATTCTCTGGAGAAGGATATTATGCTTGGTAAAGTGGAGGGTCAACGAAGGAGGGGAAGGCCCTCAACAAGATGGTCTGACACAGTGGCGGCAATGATGGACTCAGGTATAGCAGGGATTATGAGGCTGGCACAGGACCGGGCAGCATTTCGTTCTGTTGTACACAGGGTCCCTATGAGTCGGAGATGACTCGATAGCACCTAACAACAACTACTTTACTAAGCATGATATCCTTTTCTCCAATCTCTGTGTCCAAATCAATAAAAAGTTCTGATAAACTAATACCGTTTTTATATAAGCATCTATCCTCTTGATAAGTTGGAAAAAAATCAAATTTACAGCCACTTCTTATGTCCCAAAGCAAGTTCTGACTCTTGGAATGTTTCACAACCAGAATATTACTTTTTCTTGATACATCCCTTGGTCTACAAAGTTCTATCAATTCTCTGCAAGGACCCAAGCTCTTGCCACAAATCATGGCAATTGACTTGGTACATTCCAATCACTTATATATTCAACCACTTATTATATCCCATACTGTGTTTTTGAGACTCTTGGTATGTTCCAATCACTGCATGGTCTGGGTAGGTCTCAATGATCTGAATCCCTTGGTACGTTCAAATTGTAATAGGATTTCCATTTCTTGGTACCTCCCACAGAGAAACCCGAGTACCCTGATACACTCTTAATTAATTTAATTAATCTAAAGATTAAGATATTAATCTTCACAAACTCTCCACCTTGTATATATTAAACTCTATGAAGTCCACTTCTTGATAAAGTCCAATACAAAACCCAAGAGCATTGGTATGCCCCATTCTCTTCATAAAGACTCCTTTTCTATCTTAGTATAATCAAAGGCAAGGGTTTATATATAAACAGATAGCAGAAGGTGAGGTCTCTCGGATAGGATGCCCAAATTTTCAGAATATACTCCCATCTTAGGGCCTCACCGTACTGGGGAGCTGCAGCCCTGCAGTGCCTCCAGGCAGATAACTGAGCATCTCATCGTTGTAACTGGACTCCAGGCTGATGATCTCATCAATGACATCATCAATCTGGGGGAAAATGTAAATATGGAATAGGATTAGAAGACACTGGGGGAGGAGAAGGGAGGGTGGGAGGGTTGTCTACAGCTACTCACCTCCTTCTCTGAGCTGGACCCAATGGTGAGCAGCGCCATCGGACTGTTGGGAGCGCTGCCTGCAGGGCCAGTGGCATGAACAGTCTCAGGTGCAGGGAGTGGCTGGGCACTAGTGGGCCCTGGCGGTGGGGTGAGGGCCTGGGAAGCCAGCTTGGGCCCAAGTGTGGTAGACAGGTACTGTTTTACCTGTTGCCGGCGTGCCTGCTGCAGGTGGTAGCGTGTTGGGTTTTCCAGATGAGTCTGTACCTGTGGGATAAGTGGGAGGAAGCAGAGGTGAAGGTAGAACAGAGCTCAGAAGGGCAGTAACTCTGAGCCCCAGCCTGACCCCCATATCTCATCTGTTCCGAGGTTCAGGTGGGCAAACTGAACCCAGTATTTGAGATATTCCCCACCCCTAAAATACTGGTGAGTTTCTGCTAAGACCCAGACTCCCTTTCTCAGAAATCTCTCACAGCCCCCATGAATGACAGAATCCCTCACAGTTTCTGGAATAGCCTGACACAATCCCCAAGACCCCCTCCTAGTGCCTAATACCACTAAAAGACCTTGGGATCTACACATGGCTTCCCAACACACCCTAATGCCTCCCAAGGAACTCTTGATGTATCACACATCCATGCAGCTCTTCTT